ATTTATTTGGGAATGTAAAGTTTAACTTAAAATTGTTCTAATATCCATAAGATAAACCACTCCTTATATGGAAATTGTATTCGTTCTAACAACTCCCAAGCGAAATCAGAGAATCATCACTAAATAAAGTCAAAGCTCTCTTGAAACGTAAATTAATCAATAACGCTTTTTATAAATTTGACGAATATTTAAATGATCCTAATCCTTGGGATTGGTTTGTTCCAGTTCAAACAATTTGTATGACTCAAAACTTAAAAAGAGTGGCGGAAAGTTTCTTGGCAGTTCTTCTTGCACGCTCTACGTCCTTGACTTGGGAACTGGTAGTAAATGTAAAATTAGAATTAATTTAATTTCTTTTATTACGTTCATAAGTGGTTACCTATATGAATAAAGTTATTTTGAGTTTGTGTTTATCTATGAAAACCAACAGATTTAATTATACTATAATTTTCCCCCATAGTTACGAATTTGATTACTGATAAAGAAATTAAAGCCAAGCTAAGTAAATAGAAATTTCTATGAAAGAAAAATGACATTTATAAACACTTTATATATTATAAGTATATTTTATAACACTTTACTCAGCGAATGATGAATATAGCAATGGATAAAATGTACAAGAACGAAAGTTCTCTCAAAGCAGCGGTAAACTTAGATTAAAGCTAATAGTTCGACCATACGGGCTTTAAATGTATTATATATGTATGTAAATCTCTTTAAATATGTATTATATATGTATGTAAATCTCTTTAACTAAACGAAGAAGGAAAAGAAAGGTGTTTTATATGTTTGCGTACAAGATTAGTTTACAAGTTACGGTGACGTCGTAAAGTCGGAGCCGCGATCGTAAAACTTAGGTATTGAAATATGGCCGGTGTCTCATCTTGTCCAGGAGCTAGGCCATTCCGACCTTTTTCATATATTAATTTACATGAAAATATTCTGAATATTTTATATAAGTTATGTACATGTATGGGAAATGTTTTGCTCTAAGCTCATTCCTTTTGGTATAAAGTACTATTAGATGAAATTTTCAATTATGAAACCATAATAATTTTCCATACTTTCTCATATACTGTTAATTGGTACTTGGGTTCAAATCCATTGGCGCTACAACCCTTTTTAGGTCTTAGCCTGAGATGGTTTTGATGATTATTTTTATAGGCAAGTAAGTAAGCCTCGCGTGCCTAACCTATGCCGTCAATTTTGGAGTCTAAAACATGCTGCTTTCTTTAGAACTGGAGGAATATATACTGTATACTATATGACCTGACCCGGCAAACGTTGTTTTGCCGTGTATGTATATTATTTTTAGGAAACTAACTTTTAGGAAAAAATCTACTATAATAATAAATAGGGGTAGAACGTAGAGTTGTGAAAATGAAGGGTAGTGTTTTTATTTTTGTATCTATATCATTAAAAAAATAAAAACAAAAAAATTAGGGACCACCTTTAACATTTAGGGGGATGAAAAATAGATGTTGTCCGATTCGCAGACCTATTTCGGAGGAGTTTAATTGCAAACACCGTGAAAGGAGAATCTTATATATTAGATATATCATACCTGTTCACATAGAAAGAAATAGCGGTCATTGCACAACCAGGGTTGGATGACGCGACAAGTCGCCCACTTAACCACTTGATCTCCTCAAGACAGTATAGAATTTTATTAAAATGACTGAATACGGTTTCAAGAAATAATCGCATCTAACAGAATTTTTTTGTGATGTATTTATATTCTACTCTTCCACTAAGGATATAAATTAAATAACTGAATTTGAATCAATTTTTATATCTGCTACGTAAATTATATTTTACTCACTTCATCAAAGATAAGAATTAAAAATGTAGTAATAATTTATTTAGTGAGTTTAATTATTTCCGTTGTGGGTCTGCAACCGTCGAGCGAAAATTACCGCATGTGGTTTGTCTCGTCCCTTATCCTTTCTAGGTTAATCTAATATTTGGTAAACAAACCCACACTATTATACTAAAGTCGGAAATTATTCAGTATGTTTAGAAAGTTAAGTGTTAAGTTACTGAAGACAAATCAATTGCTGTAGATTCAATAGAAAACTATGAAAGCTTTCACTGTATCTGACTTAACCAAATCCGAACTAAATTTCGTAACTGAGATATAGTTTCTTCATCAACTTTAAAAAACTTGAAAGCAATTAGACGTATACGTTTTTTGTACGTTTTTACAACATGCCGTTAGAGAATAATTGACGACTGTGCGTACGCAAGTTTTGTGAAATAAAAAAAAGCTCTACAGCGTTGCTTGCATCCAAAAATGTCACATGTACCAAGCAACGTGTGTCGTCCTCATGTCCTGGTTGATGCTGTGTTTTGTTTAAAGGGTTCGAAGTAAATTAATAATTGTTTCGCGTATGCAGGAATTTTAGGCGGATAGAAAGTCTACAATCAATAAAAGAGTCATCTGTCCTATATCTTAGTCTTGACCATTAGTACTGGTAACAGTATGAATTAATAAGATCGAATTTCTTTTATCGTACAGGTATGCAAAACAAATATAAGCAAAATTTGATATATTAAAGAACATTTCCTAAAGTACACAATGCATATTGTAAAATATCATATAAAACCTCTTAAAGCAACCCAAATCAGTAAACCTTGTTCCTTACTTCACTGTAAAAGAAAATATTTTGTTTAGAAGAGGGCGCCACATCATCATTACGCTACGTAATTTTTCTGTATGCGCCATTCGCGTGTCTGTACTTTTATGCCTTCCTCTATAAAGACAAAAGGGACTTTGAAGTAAAATCACGTACATTTTTTGCAACTTAGGAGACAGCCCCTCATGTTAATGTTTTGTGGGAAAGGGGACAACGTATGGAAATTACATATGTTTGTAAGAATATTATGTTTATAGAGATACAAATGCATAGATATAAATGTGTTTTGTTTTCGTAAATTTAAAAAAGGAATTGAGATTTTTGGTTATTTTTATGTATAAAAAAGAAAGAGGTTTCGTTTCGTTAGAATGTGATTGGTCAAACGGAATGACAGATCGTTTCGTGTGTTCGTGATTGGACTACAGACTTTGTTGATCAATCTCAATCAAATGAAACGCGGTATTGTCGTTTTGTTTAGCATTCTCACCCCTAGGGGTTCTTAAGCCACTCATGTGTTGCGTTTGAAGATAATTTTAAATAAAAAACTTTTTACTATTTTGGCTTGAAAGTATAGCCAGGTTTAGTATATTAAAAACAACGTAGGATTTTTATTGTATTAGGAACACACATATATTTTTGTTTTTGGGCACATACGTTTAAACAATCTTTAAAAATAAATCTCAAAACGTAATATAACTAAAAACTAGCGGCCCGTTTCGGCTTCGCAAGGGTAGGTCATTTATTTTTTAAACATTTTTTTTAGATATTGATATGTTCTTTAATATTGTGGAACATTTTTTTGTTCTATCATCAATAGTTTTCGCAGCGCATGCGATGAAACATATAGGATTTTTTTTTTACACCTTGGGTAATATTATTGTAGTTTTAGTAGTGATATTTTCTTTTCTTGCAATTAAAATAGCCTTTTATCTATATTATATCTATTATTATCTCTATGATTAACCTATTAATCAGTGATGATGTAGCATTCAAATGGTGAAAGAATTTTTAAAATCGGTCCAGTACCTTTTTAACCAATTCGTTACAAACATTCTTACATACAAATCTTTCCTCTTTATAATATTAGTATAGATAGATAACGGCATTACATGCTGTATATTTGTTAAGGATTTTAATTAAAAAAAGGCTTCTACCGCAAACAGCGGAGAGTTGATTTTCGCGGGAAAATTTTTAAATACTCGCGCTAGGATATTGCCTTTTATAGTCAGTGCTCTCGACGTATAGTGGCCAATAACCGCTCGAATGGACGCTACAAAGGATTCATATTGTTCTGCTAAAGCTGTTTTGCTCCTTATTTATAACAAAATATCTTGATACATATTTTAATACTTGTTGATAAACGTGTAATTATTATAAAGCCTTTGTCGCACATACAGTAAACTTTGGGTAAGCGACGATTTTTATCTTTGTTTATTTAGTATCAAAATCTTTAAAATCTTATGTTAATATGAAGAGTATTCTCCATTGAAAAGTTAACAAAACTTAAAAAGACTTAACAATGGACGTCGAAAGGCAAATGACAAAAAAACAGTTTTTAAATTAATGTAAAAAGTATTGATGAAATATTCTTGAAATGCCCTAATAGTGAATGCAACTCTTGCAATTTGGCTTTTAATAAAACCGTATCGGAAAAGAGATGTTAATTTAACACTTGATAAATATAATATTACCAATGCACTAAGCAGTATATATATGCTAATTAGTTTTAAAAAGTTTAAATTTTTATCTTTTTCAATAAAATTTACACTTTAAAATGACCTTACTAGAAATCTGTGCTGGAAACTGCTTTCTTGAACAAGTAGATTCTCAGAGTTTGAGCTTTTTTCGAGCTAATTTGTATGTCTCAGAAGATTCCGAGCTTAACGTAAACTGTGCCTTCACGTCTGCCACTCGTCATGGAAACTTTTCATATATTTTCACTAACCAAATAACCAAAAAGAATCCTACTTTTTAGGAACTCACGGTCTTAATCGTAAATGTACTACAAACCTCGATTTGATAAAGAATGTGGCTTTTCTAATTCAGGTCATCAGGACTGACCTTTGTTAGTGCTGTCTACAATTTAAATCGTCATGAGGTGGTCGAAAAGAATCCGTTCCGATGTAATACGTACATTCCCGTATTTTACGCTACTATGACTTCTTCCTTCTACTTTCTACTGTTTTGTCACGACCATTTATTCTTCAAGAAACACGACAGTAAGAAGGAAAAAATATGAATTACCTATTTAATTCATAGTATTCATTTATGAAGAAATAGTTAGTTTTAAGTAAGTATTTCACTAATTGTTTGTCACACAATTAGTAAAATAAATAATTCATTGATTTACGGGGAATGCTAGCTCTAATTAAATGTATCTTTGGAAATGAGAGTCAGATTACGCTGCGTAATGAGATCTTGGCCGTGAATCATCGGTCTCAAGGGTAGCTGTGCGTCATACTTCCAAGGATGACGAGCGCTTGGAGACTCTTCTAACCCTACAATTATATGGACTTATTAAGGTCATTAATTTGTTGGTCGTTATATATTTCGCATTATCTGATTATTAGCCTGTGCTTGAATTTGTATCAAGGGACTCCAGCTTTTTTTGTAAATGAACAACTATTTCTGAAACATTTGTGTATGTAACTCTCGTAATCATTATTATGCATTTTTTCGCGTTCTAATAAATATTAATAGAATATGAAATCTAAAAAAGGACACAGCGTCCTTATAATACACGTTTAATTTATCGATTTGTGTAGTGACTAAGTAACAATAAATTTCTTAGTAATCGAGAATTGCTCACTTATCGAGATTTTATATTTTGACTTTTTAGAATTAAATCTCTAACTGATTAATTGCTCTTTGCTGCTTCGAGCTATATTTAAGTAATATATTATAAAGATATCTATACAAATTAAGGTAATGGTTTCACATAAGGCAAACACACGTATACCATTAGAAATATTCTGCGGAATAGAAAAAACCCCATCCATATTTATATGTAATCAGAATAATGTCAGCGGTAATAAACAGAGCGCATTAGGATTCTGTACGAGTGTCTTTCGAGGTGACGTTTTTCGTAGAATATTTTAGTGTTTGAGGAAGTTAGGGAGTTGGTAATTAGTTCTGTGTACCGGCAGGTGGCTCCAGTGTCTTTGCAGTATAATCACGTTCCATAACTTTTTCATTTGATGCGTACACGAACAACTTTTCCATTTCTTTTTATTAACATTGTAACGAAAATGAGAGTGGGCTTTATGAGAAACGGATACCTGACGGTATTACCTAAAATGTTATTACCATTTCTGTTTGTTTTCCACGTGAATTGAACATGTTGTTTCATATAATATAATCAAATTATTATACGAAAATAATACGATTATTATACTAGACGAATAATATCATAATAGTCGGAGTTTTTTGTTACGTGTTTGACGAAATAGTTCTTGTTGCGTTAACTAATATGTGCGAGATTTTAAGGTTAATGTATATAAGTTTTTTGGAGGAACGTTAGCCCATTGGGAAAGTGTGGTCTCTAATTAAAAATTACATAAATGGCGCTACAACCTTATTAGGTCTGGGCCTCAGATTTCTGTTTCTGTATCTGTCTCATGATCAGCCTCCTGTTCCTGTCCCGATGTCGACTGTGGGCCTCAGGCAAGCCGGGTTTCTCACGATGTTTTCCTTCACCGTTCGAGCGAATTTTTAAATGCGCACATAGAAATAAAGCCCATTGGTGCACAGCCGGGGATCGAACCTACTACCTCAGGGATGAGATTCGCACGTTGCAGCCACTAAGTAAACACAGCTCAATACTATCTTATAACTAATTACTTCGCCTATAAAAAATATTCATACTATTACTACTATTACTAGATAGGTCTGCCCATTTTTTTGTGAGGTTACAAGACTTATTTTTTAAAATCTAATAATCACTCAATGTAGCATCAAAATAGATCAAGTTAATCAATTAATAACATCAATGATTCCTCTACAAAATATAAAATTAATTTTTGATAAAAACAACTATAAAAAGGTGCTAAAGTAGCGTTGAAAAGTATAAATTTGCGTATTTCGCGGCTTCAGACGAAATAGCCTCTCATTTTTAACTCTCACCTTGCTTTTAAAGAATCTTTTGAGATGGAAAACATTAAAATGACTCTTACTTTTGCTTATAAATTGCGATCGACAAATTATTCTTTCATTTTATGAACCAATATTTTATTTTATCTAAGATGTTTACTTAGGGCCTTTTAGACATTATTACTTTCAGGTTTTACTAAAATTGTTCGTTGCTCATCGTATCCATCGTAGAAGCTGAAGGTTATAAAAGGTATTTTAAATTAATATTAATTAATAAAGAATTAATATAAATAAAATAATAAAAATACGTTACAATAGGAAATAGGGTACACACCTATCTATATATGTCTATTAATTAGAAGAATTGGTCAATATTGATTACTGGTACTTGTTCTATACATGGTGGTCTTAGACCTAATGTGTACGAGTGTGTATATTTGAATTTGTAATTCGAACAGAACATTTGCTACAAAAAGAAACAGGTAACCAGCTAAAAAGTTGTCTTTTCTTCCATGATTCCTTCCTTGTTTGGTGAATATTGTCAGTATTTTAATTATTTTGTTGAAGCATCCAAGCCGTACATTATTTATAAGTAAAAATGGTGATGCACCTACAAATATATTTAGTTTTTATCGAAATTTAATCCATAATAGCGTGATTGCAAGTATATTAAAAGTTCGGCGTTGGAAAAAATGGTTGGCGTCAAGACGTTATTTCTTGGCGAAATAAAAGTCATTAGTTCAAACCTTAATGGTTGCAAAAAGCCTAAGTTACTGACGATCGGTTAGTACAACTTGGTATACCGCAGTGCGCATCGGCTTGCAGTCCGTTGACATCGGCGCCACGAGGTCGGCACGCGACCAATTATTTCATACAATTCGCATTATATTTTCCTACAACGCTCCATTGACCTAGTGCTGTGGTATTTCAATTCCCGTTAAATTCAGCGGATTATAATTGAACAGGGGCAGCGTACCCTAATACGAAGGTTGTTGCCACTGTATTGTTTTATAAGCATTTTGATAGTTAAAAAAACTGCCCTATTCTGCAATAACATTTATTTAACATTATTACATTATTTGGGATCACCTGCTACGTGTCTGCCTGAGCTGTAGTGACAACACAATATTACAACAGTTAATTAAATAGTTTCGTAATTCCCATCCAAAGATAATATTATCAAAAAATATTTTCAAAAAAAAATATTTTTGGCAAATTGTTTTATACGTTACACATGATTTATAAAATTGGATAAAATAAGGTAAAATAAAAAATCGCCCTAAAATATGGCGAGGGGGCCGATGGCTGGCCATGCGTCATGCTCGTGAACGGGTGCTGCTTGTGGTGACTGGTCGTACTTGAATTCGTGTATGCGGTGATGTTGGTTATTTCGACTATGTGTTTGCGTGTTGTTCCCACGGGAATGTAAGTGCGTGCTCCTATTTCACAATGCCTCCTGCTGATAGAGGACAAATCTTTGTTTTTAATTTATGTTATTATTATTAATTACTTATAATGTCACATGGGGCACGGTGTAATGGTTGCAGCTCCTTACAAACATTTTGTAAAAGAAAAAATAAGGCGATTAAAAAGAGTGGCGGAGAGTTTATTGCCAGTTCTTCTCTCCCGTTCTACGCCCTTGATTTGAGAACTGGCAGTAAATGTAAAATTAGAAGCATTAATATGTATTTCTTTACTGACAAGTCATAAGTGTACATTATGTTACCTATATGATTAAATTATTTTTTACTTTAAGGTACATTACTAGGACATACATGTTTAACTTAGAAAAATTAAGTGAGTTAAGTTCAGGGATTATGTATTAATTTTAAACGAATTTATGTTTTAATATTTTCCCTCCATACAGCTTGGCTACTTAAAAATACAAATCTCTTCCGCTAAAATTAAGGTGATTGTTTCCCTGTCCGGGATTTAATAAGGTTAAGTAAGGTGGCATATTAACATAACGAAGAGTATCGAAAAAAGATTACATTTAAATAATATCACCCCAGCGATCACTTTCGCCTACGCGTGAATGGCAATAATGAAATCTGGCCTCTCGGGCTCCCAGTAATCAACCCAGGGAATGTTCTATTGCTGCTCGATTCCCTTTTGCAAGGTATAAAGAGATCCCTATCGGAAGGATGTTAAGCGCAAGATTGCAATTTGTGATGACGACACTTTAGAATTAGTGAGGTGCTTTTATGGGTGGAGTGTTGTGAGATGACTCATGAAATCATGTAAGATGCTTGTGCTGTTCATTTTGTTGTTTGTAGTATGGGACCCAGTTATATAAACTAAAGATCGCGTTAAGTGATCTTTCTAATAATTTGATGGCACTTCAGATCCACATATTCATTAAACAATATCTTTATTTACTTTTTTGTTATATAACTCTAATTAAATAAGATTTTATTACGTTTATTTATTTAATACGGTCACAAGAGAGGTAAGGACAAAGTTCGTTTGAAAAAACAAAACAAAAAACTCATAAGTGTTTGTTAATTGTAAGTTATTAAATGATTTTGTAACATATTATGTCCCTAAGTAAGTAAGTATTTGATATTATTATCATTATATTGTAAGCAAACGTTAATAAACTTTAATAATGTTGAGTAATTAGTTCGGTAATGGGTGCGGATCGCGGTTATGGCAAATTAAGGGAACGCTCATTATTATTTCCAGTTGTATTGATTGGTTGCGATAGAACGTTGCCTGTTTTATCTATTTATAAAAGCGATAATGCACTGCTACATAGACTTTTTTTACATTTCGATTTTTTTTATATTTCTCACTTTTATCACGAGTTCTTTTCTTTTGTACATGTACATTCTGACCGGCTGTCTGAAAGAAATCCACTTATCGATAAGGCCATTTGATGCATAAACAACTTCTTATTTTTAAATACAGATCTGGACTCATGGTTGCCTGCATTTGATGTTAAGTGAGAAGCGGGCATTTGGTGCGCATACCTGTCCAGGAGAAGTCTATTTAGCCGCCTATAATATAATTTTATAGGTATCGCAATTGTGTGGCTAATTATTTAAATTTATGATACATTTTGGTTTACACGGGGAGCATATTCCCATTGTCACGGATTGACTAAGGTACAACGTCATTGCCGTCAGTAATGTCACCGTCTTAAAAAAAGTCGTCGTCTTTTTGAAGTTATACTTCTTTCGGCGCGTTATGAAAAATTGATGAGAGTGAAATTTTACGATGCGCGCGCACCGTGACACAAAATTAACAGAATGAAGTTGCCCACAGAAGATGCTACGGCATCGGACATAATTTAAAAACAACATTCGAATAATAATAGAATTTATGTTACACTTAATGTAAGAGATTAATAATAAATATTTATTTATTTAATTTTTCAAATGTAAACTGAACTATATTGACTATAATGACTCCTTTTCCAATCTTTGATTATCTAATTGTAATTAATTATTTGCATGCAATCAAAAACTATTTTTAATAATGCCAAAGAAGTATAACTTCTTACGCGCGTAGATAAGTACACGCACCCTTTTTTTTGTTAATTTACCATCAATTAAACGCAACACGCTAAATAAGCGAGACAAACTAAGCTGGGAGGGTAGTCAGTAATACTTCGAGTAAAATAAATTTTACCAAAACCACAGCAAACAAATCATCGCCGTGGCTTTATAATTTCATAATTCTAACGGTGGGTTCGTCGCGTAAATTGGTTGAATTTAGTGGGATCCCACGGGGTGTACACTTAGCTGGGCGTCTTATGTTACGGTCGAAACAATTCGTTAAATTACCCTGAAATAAGTCTACGTTTATAATAATGTACCCTTGCTTAGTCTTATCAATGATATACGAATGTTTTACATCTACTGGTTTATTTTCTCTCATATCAATAAGGAGTTTTAATATTTATATTTAGATTTCCTGTTCGTCAGAAGTTCACAAAGGTTGAACCTGAAAGACGGAAAGGATTTTAGACACCAAGTGCGTTGTGTTATCAATTTTTTTTGTAAGTTTAATACAATAAGAAAGGCGACCGGAAAATTTCTAGCACGCTCTATACATATAAGTAGCTTATATATGCATGGCATACATGAAAGTACTACAATTACTTGATAAAATGCAAGTGCACATAGGCA